CCTGACCAGAAACGATCAAAGCGCTCTCAACACCCCGTCCATAAAACCTTACCATTTGTTTAAATTTTCTTATCTGTGATAAAAAAATTAACATTATTTTGCAATTTGTTTCATGAAAGTGTTATTATAAACTTTTTATTACCTAAATTTGCTGCAACTATATGATTATGACTAGTTTGAATGAGCAAATAAAATCGCTTAAACCTAATGGTTTGTACAGTTTCACTTTTCCTTTGAACAAGTGAAAACACGATAATTTAAAATGAGTTTAGAAATTCCTGCAGGGAAAATAATGACGAACTAACAATTTTGTTTAGAGTTTATATAGAATAATAATATTTTTTATTAAATATTAGGTCCGCCTAAATTTAGTTTGAAACATCTTTTACTGAACAATCGGACAATGGCTCACTTAAAGATTTAAAAATATTATAAATTATTTGACACAATTCCGTATAAATACTTGTAATTATTGGTGCGGGAAAAAACAATTTTCAAAATAATTGAAATAATTACAAGTAATGAAAAATTTAAATTCCAATAATTCTACATTATTTTTTTTATTAATTCATTAAACAACCTTTTATATATTTTTAATTCTTTTGTACTTCAATTATAATATAGAGAACTAGTTAATAGTTTTGAAATAATCACATATATCAATGGCAACAAGTCATAGATCAATAAATATTTTTTACTTTATTTAAATCTATTATAAGTATTATAATTTTCACAAAAATGTTGTTAAAATAAAATGAATTAAATTAAATAAAAAAATAATATATAGAGATATCACAAGAAAATTTCTGCATGTAAATAAGTTTACTTTTAAATTATTAAATTTATAAGGATAGTCAATTGTTCAAGGAAATTTTAACAGCAAATATTGATTTGTATTTCTCTTTCTACTTAAGACGCCAGAGAGTATTTTATATGATATTAAAAGTAAATGTTCTAAAATTCAACTTGCAATGTTTAAATTCGATTAAAGAGAGAATATATTTTAGGTGAGCGGCTGTGGATGCATATCTTTAATTAATACATGAGCTCCTAAAATTATGCAATAAATTTAAAATTTTAAAAATATAAGCAATTACAAAAATTTATATAATTTATACAATTAATTTAATTTATGTAAAATAAAAGGAATAAGTTTTAATAAGCAAATTTTTTCTTTGAAATTCCGATGACAAAAAAAAAACACTTGGGGAATATAATCACTTTATAAAATATATAGGTAATTATCTCAGCTTGATAATGAATAAAAATTGCAATAAATTTACAAGTTTTCAATTTAGTGATTTTTTCTTTTGTTAATTTTAAAAATATCTGAATATAAATAAACAAATCATAATTGCATCACTTGTTCGATGCCAATTTATTCATCTAAAATGTAAAATATAGAAGAAAAAAAAACCGTATGTTCAATTATTGACAAGTAATCAATCCCATAATAGATTTATTTTTTTTTTTTTTTTGCTATCATTTTAATATATAATTGACACATCGTATTCAATATAAATTCATCAAAAAATTTTATTGTGATGAATTCTAACACGATATTTTAAAAAGATTTTTCTATGGAAATTGATTAATAAAAATTTTAATTTTTCCTTTATTGGAATTCGGCATTGCTAAATATAGGAATAATAAAATATTAATGCAGTTATACATACATAATGAATCATATATGCATACATGTACATTAAAGCATTTCAGAGGGACATGATATTGAGAAAAATATTAAATATGTAAGAAATTATATGTTAATAATTGTAAAAATCCGGTTGACAATCAATTTTATTTGTTTAAACTTGTAATCAATATTGTAGTAAAATATCACTAAAATTAATTTATAAATTTAAAATAATATTAAGTGCAGATTTGAAATTGAAAAATACTATTTTTGGTTCGTATGCGTAAATATGTCGCAAATGAAAGGTGGCAGGCATTCGATAGTTATGTAAGGTTCATGTAAGGTTTTGAAGCTAATATACGTACTTATCTGGATAAGAATAACCCAAATCAAAAATAAATAATTTGAGTATTTTTGTTAATAATTGAATCAGTGTCGAAACTACCGATGAAAACCTCTTGTATAACTTTACAAATTTTGTTCGGGAACTTGCCTAAATCCTATTTTGAGAGTAAAATCACCTTATTAAATCACTTCGTCCAAGATTCACTTCTTTAAATTTTTTTCCTAAAAGCGATAAGATTTACAGATTGTAGATTTACACTTGTGACTCGTTGTAATACTCTATTACTAAGTTGTGTCATTACGCTCTCACTCAGGGTACACGTAGAAATTCACTTTAAGAAATTGGATGTGAATACTTTAATACTGAAAAAACCGTGCCCGAAAATTTTTTGTCTCTTGAGTTCACTAAAATTGCGCAGTTACATATAATAAATGCCTACAACAGTTTTGTTACAGTGTTGAGCTAAGGGATTGGAATTAGCATGAGTCCAATTCGGATTCATTCGCAACATCTCCGAGGAAAATTGTCTTGTTTATGATGGTAGAAACATGTTCAAAATTATGACATCTTCTATATAGTACTCCGAACTAAATTTCCTTGCCGGCCTAATAAAAAATACATTCAAATATAGGGTAAAACTCATCTTTTCTTTCTAACCATTACAGTGAGCCAAAGCTTCCCCACCGATTCTCTTCCATTCCTCTCGATCTTGCGCCAAAATGGTGTAATTAGTAACACAAATACTTTTCAAAGCAGCCTCTACCATGTCTAACCACCTAGATTTTGGTCTGCCCCTGGTTCTTGTGCCAAACTCACGATGCAAGAAAATATTTTTTAAAAAATATTATCGCACGTCACGCGAAGAATATGGCATAGTCACTTAATCCTTTGCGATTTTACAAAATGTACGATATTTCTATACTTTATAATACTGTCCAATTCATGATTGAATATTATTGTGTAACTGCCATCTATAAGTTAGAGTGTTCCATATATTCTTCTCAATATTTTTCTTTCGAATATAGATAGAAGTTTGAACAATTATTGAATTTCATGGGATAATTCCAACAAAATAAATTTATTATTAATACTTGATTTTTGACTTAATTATTCTTAAAGTACATGTTGTTATTTCCATAAAAGATAATTCCTAGAAAATTCATATTCCCATATATTAAATTCTAAAAGCGATTCATTATTAATTTATTGATTTGATAGCTGTCTGATCATCAATTTTTATAATATAAAATGACCAAGTAATGGTCTGAGATTTTCAATATTATGTACACATTACACAAATTGTATATATTATTTAAATATTGCGAGATGGAACAATAAATTACGCATTATTGCGCACAAAAAAACGTAAAATACAAAAATTTAAAATTATTTCATGATTTTAATTTCATGTTTTATTATAATTTGTGTTTTCTTAAAATGAAGTCTTAAGAAGTTGAAAATAATTAATTTGTTCAAGTGTAAGCATACTCGTATTATTATGAGTCCATTGCTATCTTAATTATTTATTCATTTTAATTTTTAAAAGGATATTGAGGGAAAAGTAAAGCGCCACGCCATGAATAAGTAGTTCTCATTAAAAGGCACGTAATATAAATTATTTGTACGCGTTCATGTAGCCTCTGAAGGTATTCCCACATCCGTCTGGAGCCCACAGACGAAACCTATTGCAAAATTAGTGTACAGGTGATGTGGTGTGCTAACAAATTTGTGACGTGGAGAAAAATATCACAAAAAAATTATGTGGCTGCATAATTTAGCCAGCTATTATCGGAAACACAGTGGAATTTTTCGATTTTATTACTAAAATGTAGAAGAAGTAGAATGGCTCTGATGGTATAAATTACATTACCGACCAGTATATTCTAATTATACACAAACCAAAAACTAAAACACATCATTCTTTGAAATTGAGTGCTCTAATAATTTTAGATTCTAAATTGAAATGTAGACTCTTTTGAACATTAGCATAATAGAACAAGTTAAAATGACCGGGCGCACAAATTATGTCAAATTCGTTTTATTTCTAAGAAACCAAACAACGTGGAGAGAAGTGCACGACATTTGCTGGTACCAAGTATCAATTAAATATTTAACCTTTTTTAAATGAAAATTACTTATTTTAATTGAATACAATTTGTAACAAGCTGGGCCAAAACTTGTAATTTATATTTTAACTACAATATTTTTTTTTTAAATTATTCAATTTTCCATGTAAATTGGTAATTTTTTTCTACTAAATTCATTGAATAATAATTAATATTTAGTAATAACTACAATATATTAATAATGCAGGACTAATTAAACATTGCTTTTTTTTTTATATTAACATTTTTATTTAATTATTATTTTACTTGAAATGACAACATTCGTATTTGCAGTTAATTTTTGATTAAATTCCTGTCATTACATAATAAAAGTAACAATGTAAAGAAATTAGTACACGTAAATGACAAGTTTTTTTTTAAATATTTTAATAAAATTACGTGCTTCCCAAACAATTTTGCTCTATTCTTGTTTTCTTCGGTAACTAAAAAGCAAAGAATTAAAAATCTATTACCCAAAAATTTTTAATAATAAAAGGAAATATTTTTGGCCCTCTACTGAAAGCCGCGTGGACTAAATAATTTCGTTAAATTACTAGTTCGGTACGTACATTTTGAAAACTACATCTGTCACTTTTGACAGTAATTTTCTGTTTTCAATTCCTTTTTTTTTTCTTATTTTCATTTTAAAAAATTTCCCCTTTTTTGTGATTTATAAAATTTGATTGGTTCATGCAAATTTTTTAAGGGTTAAAAAATGAGAAAGGGTTAAAAAAATGGTATAAAAATTTTTTTTAAATACCAAAGGGTTGCAAAAGAACAGTAAGGGTTTTATTACAAATTTTTCGTTTTTTAACGAATTATTTCACCTTCACCACATACGCAGATTAGGTTTTTCATTAGTATTAAGCAGCAAGTTGTTGAAAATAGACGCTTATAGCAAATATTAATTTTGTGTTCATTACAAAATTTTTATATTATTTTTTTTTTTTATTTTTTAAATTTTTTTACCATTATTTTATTTAAAATTTTTTTTTTTTAATTTTGTGATTTTTATGCACATAAAATTAAATAATTGTTTTTAATTACTATAAAATCCATGCTACTAATAATATTCATTGAAAAAATTAAAAAAAAAAAATAAAAAGAAAAAAACGTATTGAAAAAAAACGGAATGTCATCTAATAATGTTGAAGCTGCAACAAATTAACGTAAAAACTAAAGAGCGAAACAGATTTAAAGACGACAAAAGAGAGCAATGGAAACGAAATTGAATACTGTGCTCCTTCTTTGTACAAATTTATTTTAGTTACCACTAACTAAAATACCATGATAGTTAACTACCATTGCTAAGTAGAGGCAGAATGACTGAGAACAAGATATCGGGAAATCGAGAAATACAAGATGCGTAGCAACTTTGACACTATGGTCTGGAAATTAAATGTAAGTATTAAAAATAGTTTTCAATTTTAACTTGCAATTGTGCAGTTAAATAATTCTATTACCGACATTATTTAATAATTTTTATTATTAAAATTTTTTTCTACGAGTATAATATGTCAAATTCTTTATTTCATTCGTAACGTTAAAAATCGGCCACACCTGATGTGAAGAAAGTGACTAACTAGGTATTTTATGTTCATAGTTTAATTGAAAGTATATAATATACTTTCGTAATAAGTATATAATACTCTTGAAAAATCGCAGTATTTTAGAAACTTCAAGCAGAAAAACTTCCATTCTGCAAAGCCGTTCCCGAACATCACAGTTACAAGTGAGCAATCGCTTTGCATTAACACAATAAGAATTCTACCAATTCGTCTTCTTCCAGCCAAAGACGACAGACCACGCTCTTTGCCTTGTCCATTCTCTTCAGGTGTTTATTATCAGTGAATTTGACATTAAATTTTAATAAAAGAGAATTATCATTTTATTGTTGCAGAGATTCGCATGTCATTTGCTTTTATACAGGCAATAAGCTCTATAATTTCATTGACTAACTATAAGTTTCCAGTTTTAATTATTTTTTAAGGCATTTTCTATTATATTATTGTACATACATAATTAATTTTATTTCAAATCCCACTAAATAGTATTTAATGAAAACAAACACAACAACTGAAGAAAAACTTCTTAACAATTTCATATGTTGTAATTTTATAAAAAAAAAATTATTTATAAATTTTTTTTTTTTCTAAAACATGTTTTTAATGTTTAAAATTAATTCTGAAATTAAAATTGAATACTAAATTAAATAATTTTTTCCTCTCTTTTTTTTTTTAATATAATTTCTATTTTAAATTAGTTAAAAAAACCAAGATATTACAAGAACTAGTGTGTATGTGTGTGGATAATGTGTGTTTATAATTATTATGGTACTAAAAACAAGAATATGTGCGTATGTAAACGCATCTATGTTAACTACCTGCAATATATGTTATGTCTGGTTATGCGCAACAAATATGACAAATAAAATGACAGAAGAAAATTACAAATAGTCAACATTTTAATGTTGGAAGCACAAAAAAAAAAAAAAATTTAAATTGAAATAAAAAAAATTTTCCCACGATTTACGCATTTTAAGAGCATTTAATTCATACATATATACATACATGTATATACCTAGAAATAATTACACATAATATTTATGTTAACAATGAAGGCTCATTATGACATTCGTACGTATACGTACGTACATATGCACGTATGTTCGAATGTTATGAAAATGTTAAAAGAAAATTTTATTATAAAATTACTCTAGCTATGTAAATTCTATAAAAGGTAATTATTCTATTGAGCACATTGTATTTTTATTGGCGCACTTTTATTTATTATTTTTTTTATCTATACCTTTAAAGAGCGTGTTTCTAAAATTTATTTACTTATTTGGTAATTTATTTGTTATATAATTAAAACATTTTATATAGGAAAACTAACTATAAATTGGAAATTCAGGAGTTTATAATTATAAAATCTTTTTGGAATTTTTTTTTCTCTTTTTATAAAATTAGAACTCTGTATAGAATGCCATATATGTGTCAAAAATTCCATATTTTTATAAAATGAAGATTTTGTTTAGTACTGAGGCTTCTCACAATAATATTATTACGTTAAGAATGCATTATCCTGTACTTTTCCATTCCTATATACATAAAAAACAAAAACTTGAATGTGAATTTGTTTAAGAATAAATTAAAAAATTTTTTTTTAATGTTAATTATCGATCTATTTACTTGTTTGTCATGTAAGAATATTAAATATTTTGTTTATTGCAGGGTATCTTTACTAAATTGTCATATAAAACCTCCATTTATGCAGTCCAGGTGAATGCCAGACCAGTTCTAATTATGATTTTCTTCAGAAGCCACCTCTATGTGTGACGTATCCTAAGTGTAAAAATAATCAGATTAGAAACCTTCACAGAAGAGGACAAAGATGGAACTTACGAAATTTTGTCCAGAGACTTCGGTAAACGAGAATGAGCTGTTAAAACTATGAGCAAACAAAAGAGATTAAATTCGTAAATATTGAATATTATTAAAAATTTCTACAATTTTAGTCATTATTATTTAAATATTTTACTTTACATTTTAGAAATCGATGGTTTTTATAAAAAAAAAAATCAGAAGGAAGTAAGAAGTAATTGAATAATAAAATTAACGAGCTTGGGAAGAATATGTGTGCTCTATAAACACATTTTTTAATTTTCAGCTGCACTATTCTAAGGAGCTGAAGTAATCGCAAGTATTTCTTTATTTATTAATGTGGAATTTTATATATAAAAGAACAAGAACCGAATATTATTCGAACTTTTCTTGTAGAACGGCTTTTTAAAAAGGCATCTGAAACTTTACAATAAAAAATATTTTTTGAGTATAATTGGAAAAATTCCAAGACGGATTCCAGAAATATTAAACATTGTGGGATTAAGAAATACGTTCTCATTTGTTCTCGTTTATTTGTTCTTCTCTGTAGATCGGTATTGTTCGCAAAACTGTAGCATGAGCAGCAATTAATATTAGTGGTATTTGCTTGCCACGCAAGAATGGCTAAATAGCAGTAGTTCACGAACATGAATTTTTTATAATACCAACAACCAAAACCAAAGTTAGTTCTTAATAATTGTTATATTTTGTCCAACAGTGGCTGTAATGCTTTGTTGTAAAGCTTTGGTCTATTTAAAAAGTAATTTTCAAACCATGACTTGCACTTTAATATATAGAACCCTTGCTTTACCTGTATGTGTGTAGTCTTTCAAAACAAGCATTATTATTCCTTTACATAGTTTTTTTTGTGTTTCCTTTCTTTTATGTAATTTTCAAATAAGATTTCATCTTTTAGATATTTTGATTACATTTGATTATTCATTCTTATTACTATTGTCATTATTGGTGAATACCAGAAGCTGAAAATTAAATTCATTTGAAGAAAAAAACAAGGCAATATAGGTACTGAAAATAAAATGTAACATTAATGATAAATTTGATTCTATTTTACGTCTCCTTCTCTTTTGAACTGCACAAAAAGTGCACAACAAATTGATGAAATATTAAGATTAATGATGAAAATTCATCAAAAACTTGTCCAGTTTTGTTCAAAGAATTGAAATGTACCAGATTTGTTTTCTTTACTTTTTTTTTCCTGTTCAAATTATCTTTTGTAGGCGGAATATTGTAAAAACTTTACCTGACCTTATTAGTTGGTGAACGTTCGTTTTTTTAATTGCAAAGTTTCCTTGAGTTCTGTGGTCCTGATTACATTTATTTATGTTTTTATTAAAATATTTTTTTATTCTTGTCGCTATTTTTCATGCAGTATAAACAGCTGTACTCGTAAGTGTGTGTGAACTAATTATTTTTCAAATTATTACAAAACGCATAGACAAGATCGAAAAATTTCCATATCTCCTTTTCTGTCTATCACGAATTATTCTGTTGGGGTAAAAGGAAATAAAAGAAAACATTGGGTGCATATACATGTGTGGATTGAAAAATTTTTTTTTCACTCGAAACTATGATCTGCATTTTTTCCTATCGGACTGTACTATTCCATTTCATAATGACAGTTCCGCTTTAGTTACTGTTTTATAACTTCTCTTAATTCTTTTTCTCTGGAGTTTATTAAAATTTAAACGTCTTTTATTTACTGTTTCGCTATCAACTTATTGTTGAAATCTCGCATTATTCGTACCATGCTTTTTCGCTACCTCCAAATCTATTATGGTTTTTTCTGCTATCTGCCAATCATGTTCACTTCACTGTGTTTACTTTTGATCTGAATATTGAGGTATATTGGAGATTTTGTTCTGAAACAGCTCCTGTATGGGATTTTGCTTTTTGATTCACCTCAACTGCAGATTCTTTTCTACAGAGATCTTTTGATAAAATTTATCAAAATCATTAGAACAATTTACTATCTGTGTGTGTGTGTGGACATATTATGTTAAATTCGTGGGGTAGCTCACAATCATAACAGTTAATTTTACAAAGTTACGCAGCATATATGTTTGTGTTTATAATAATTGGATGACTTTTTCGTTTAACTTCAGAAATTTCTCATACACTTAAATTATTTCTTTTCCTGATTTGTTGTTTTTTTCCCCTCTAAACAGGTCACAATTGATTTCAATTAGTGATAGGACAATTTAAAGACCAGAAGTTGATTTCCCAAACCTTATTTGTTTGTCATCATTTTCTGTTTCACTAGATTTTTGTCAATTGAGTCTAAATTTCAAAAAAAGTTATACATAAAATCATTGAAAGAAGTCATGAAGAAGAAGTTTATAGAGATTCTTATCTATAGATAAAAATCTATTCATTTTGATTAATAAGCAGAGCTTCATATATTTTTGAAGAAAGTTGAAAAGGTGAGTTCACATTTTACTTTTTAATTTTTGTTTGTTATTTTAACACTACCTGTAAATTAATATCATTTCAGTGATAACTATATTAGAAACTGGTACAATTTAAAGGAGTAAAAAATTAAATTTTATAAGTTTTGGACCGTATTGTACCAATTAACAACCAAAATTATTTTTATTATTCTATTTATATTTTTTATAAATTTATTATATTTTTTTTTAATTTTAGTATTTGATTGCATTTCAAGTCACCAATCTTACAATCAATGGAATCATTATACAAGAGACATACACATTGGATATCAATCAGAAGCAATTAAGAAAGTTTCAAGAGACCGGAAGAATGTAATTTTCTTTAGTAAAAAAAAAGTGAGGCGTCAATAAATTTATTTTGGATTAATAATAATGAATATCAATTATAATAATTTGTAAATAATTGATTTCTTCACAAAATCTAAGATTTCATTAATAAGTTTCCCGTAGTGTAATAGAAAAAAAGAATTGTATTTGTACATAATAAATTTAGTCTAGTAATTATTGTTTATCTAAGTATAATATTAAGATCTATATAAGCAAGGTTTTAAAAAATATTTAAAAACTCAAGAACTAGTTGAGATAATAACATGATAAATTTTCTGCTAAGATTTTTAATATAGTTTTAGGAAATTATTTATTTTGATAAGAAGTTTCAGACAATTGCACGAAATACAGTAAGAATTAGAGGGAGACAAGAAAATGTTATATATAGTGTTCATATTATAACAATTAAACTATTTGTAATAGCATTTAAGCGGAAATCTCATTATTGCAAAAGCAATCCAATAAAATGTGTAGAAATTGCAAATTTAAAACATATTCAGCTATTAGCCCTTTAGTGTTAATGTATATATATAATCGACAAGTGATATTTTTGAGTATGGGCTTAAAAAATAATTAAACACCAATAACTTAAGAAAATTTTATTTTCCAACCCTACAAAAATGTCGAAACATTAATAATAATAATAATAATAATAGAGATTTTCATAAACGCAGTACATACTGCAAAAGCATATCGTAATATAATATAGGCATACTCAATATATATCTTTGACAATTCTGTAAAAGTGAAACAAATATTTGCTCCTTTCGCAAATTTACATACACATTACTGACACTTTGTATGTAATGTGCAAATATTTTGCACTTGCATAAATGTCAAAATTATTACTATCGTAGCAAATACTTACGCACATTTTTTCAAAAATTTTATTTATTATATTATAAATGAAATATTTGAATTGTGCAATTGTCCTCGCAAATCCTAGCAAATGTTGGCTATGAAACGTACTTGCGTTAGCAACTATATTTTCGTGCGCAAAATGAACAAATTTGATTTGAAACATTTATTTTATGAACACAAATATAGTTCAATATTTATTATAAATAAAACAACGAAATCTCGTAAAAAATCTAATATCACGAGTATTAAGTTACGCTTATATATTTCAGGAAAAAAAAAACAGTAAAAGCGCTATTATGATTTTGTTATTGTTGTAATAAATTTTACATTCTATAGTCTGTTAAGCTAATTAAGTCTGTTATGTTAAATAATTTTAATCACAAATTGTTATTAGACATTGTAATAGATTTATTTATTATGTTGAATGATAGGTAAACGCTTAACTATTTGAAAACAAATATTTGTGATGAGTGACTAAATTTCATAAGGCGTCCAAAAGTATAGGCGTTTTCTCTGTAATAAGCAGTATTTTTTTTAATCTATTGCAAATTAAATTCTTTTTTTTTTTGTGTATTTGCTTTTTAATAGGCATTCAAGAAAAATTAGTTATGTACAATTTATTTATATTTAATGCATGTACACTTATGCATACCCACATATACATATTTATTATATACACTTTATTTGAAAAAAAATCACTAAGTACAAATCACTTACTATTACTTAAAAAAAAATAGTAGAAAATTAAATCAAAAATTGAAAAACAAAAAAAAAACTTGACTCTTGTCTTTCCTATCCAATTTAAGATGGCGCATGTTCATATATAGCAATTCTTTATGTAGACGACTTCTTTGCAATACTTATGGAGTGATGATAGATTGCGTCAAGTATTTCTTATGTCAACCGTTTAATATGTTCTTTGCAATTTTAGCATTTTATACGTTTTTTTTTCCTTTACGCGCACACATACGATTATTTTTAATTTAAAGGTATACTTGGAGGCTTTTTGGTTTTGTTTTTATTGTTAATTTTTTGATTTTTACTTTTGTTTTTTGTTATAAGAAGAGATTTATAACTTTGGGATTAACTTTTTATACATATTTATTTTTTAAATATAAGTAAATAAGTGGGATATATATCCTATGTCGATATATACAAATGGCGGCAAGACATGATGACAATAATAAAGGCTTAAGCGAAAAGTAAAAATAACAAAAAAAAATTGCTATTTGAACATCAAAACAGACATTCCGAATATTGAGAAAAAAAGCAAAATTTATTCTATACAGGTTGTTTACGAAAGACCGTCTTGAATGTAATTAAAAGACATTTATAAGAGTTACAAAGCTGGGATTCTGATCTCCTTTTTTTGTAAGTATCCATGAGAAATTTTACAATTATTCGGGAGAAAGCCAGAATTCTGGAAATACTTGAGAAAAAGACAAATGTTGTTTCCACTTCTCGGTTCTCATTCTAAAAATTTGTTGGTTGGTTGGTTGACGTGGCAGATGTAACAGTTCCACCGCATCCCATTTAACACAAATGTGACATCTTACTACCACTACCCTGTAATCTCGTCAAACAAAATACATCCACTACCTTCTGTGTCCGATTACAGGTGGCCTTTCTAAGCTATCCGGTTCTTTTGAGAAATATATCTAAATCCCCGATACTAATTTTCAATATCCCGTCTAGTTCCACCACACAAACTCTGCCTCGCGTCACCAGTCTGGCCCTGCCCGGAGCCCGGCACTTTCAGAGACGGTGAGGAATGGCTTTCTTCTTTTCTATTACCCGGAAGCTGTGACACGTTCTGTTGAAGGAATCTCAACTTAGTCGCAATTTCCCCTACGACCAGTTTCCCGCGTAGACTGGCATCAGGTGGGCAATATCCCTCCGAGACATCGTCAGGAACCAATCCGATTTTCTAAAGTCGTATTTTGGCGACATTTTTCTGAAAATTTCTATTAAGAAGTGTTTAAGAGTAATTTTCAATATGTATTGATCTAAACGACCTCTATAAATAAGAAGAATAATAAAAATAGTGGCGACTTGTCGAGTTGATGCAGTATTATTTATAAAGCACCCTTTACTATTCAAACGTTCTGTAAGATATTGATATTAAACGAACTTAGAATAGAAATTTTACTGAAAAAAAATTATTGAAAAAATTCAATAAAAAAAAAATTAGAATGAGAGAAGAAAGAAAGCAATTCAAAAATTTTGTCAATTTTGATATCCTTTCGTCAAAAAAACAAAAAAAAATTAAAAAAAAAAAAAAACTGTAAATAAAGTCAAAGAAATCGCCGATCCTCGAATTTTTTTTTTGTTTTTTTGTAATCTTGAAGGAATAATTGTGCATTTTGTTTGGCTCG